GCCGTGGAGCATCTGTCCCTGAACAGGGCTGTGTGAGCCAGCTGTGATCCCAGCCAGCTGTGCACCCACCTACCTGGCCGACCATGGTCTTGGCTAAGATCTCTGCCCTTCTGGGCCCGCTCAGGATGTCGGCAGCTTTGAAGAAGACCTCCGCGCGGTCCTGGATGGGCCGGAGATCCCATTCCTTCCGGGCACCCAATGCAGAGATAATGGCCTTGTTCAACAAGTCCTAGATGGGCAGAAAATTGCCCACATTTGAGGTGACTCATTTGTATTTATCTATGAACTGACTTATTTATGGACTGACTGGGTGGGTGAGGGGGATGAGAAGTTTGTGGAATGAAGCACAGCATAGAACAGGGGTCCCCAACCCCCGGTCCGTGGACCGCCACTGGTCCGTAGCATGCCAGCAACCGGGCCGCACAAACAAAAAAAAGCCCCATCCATGGGATGCAGGCAGTACACAAAACCACATCCCTTCTGGTCCCTGGAAAAAACCATTCTCCATGGCACCGGTCTCTGTTGCCAAAAGGTTGACCCAAAAGGTTGAGAACCTCTGGCACAGAAGACACCTCTCCCCCCCAGAAACACTTTCACAAGTTTTTTTTTTAATGCTACAACCATCGTGAAAATGTGGGACTCACTGCCACATGATGGCCAGTATCTTGGTTGGCTTTAAAAACGGGTTAATCCTTAGCAGCTCCATCCATCAAGGCCTGTCCATTTCCTCTGTCTTTTTTTTCAAATAACCCAGTTATTCACCAAGGATGGCCAGAGGTGACCAAAAATTTCTGTTAACCAGGTTTGAGTTTGCATTTTTGTATAACTCTGCCTTCGCTGGCAACTCCTTTATCCGTAGGCTGTGTACAGGTTGTGTTGTGGGCACGGAAAAGTAATTTGGCCAGGAAAGGGGGGTTACATTCTGCTACATCAGGAATGAGGGAAGGCATTCATCTCAAAGGCAGCAATAGAGCGAGGCTGAATGCCTGGAGTCAGGGACAGGACAGGACAGTAAGTCATTCAGACAAACGAAGGACATCCTCCTTCATAGACTCGCTGGAGCTTACAAGATTATCATAAAATGTGCTTACAAACAGCCTCCACCTGAGTCCTACCTGGGAACATTCCAAAAAAGTCTTACTGTGGGGTGCTTTGCTCACCTTATCAGCGTAGCAGTATTTGGCCACTTTGTGTAAATGTTTAAAGGGCTGGAAAAAAAAAAAAACAGGAGGGAGAGAGGAAGAAAAATGTAACAATTTTGACCAGCAATTTCTCCGAGAATAATAATAATAATAATAATAATAATAATAATAATAATAATAATAATAATAATAATAATAATAATAATAATAATAATAATAATGCCTGTGCTTGTTTTAAACAGAAATGCATCTGATCATTTTAAAGTAAACATTCCAAGTGTGACAGATTCGCCAAAAAGAAACACAGCGAGTAAAATACTTCTCGCCCGTACTGAAGTGACCACCAAACAGAGACTTTTAAGGCCTTTGGTCAAACATGGATGAAATAGGCTCTTTTTACAACTAAAACTAGAGTCTGCTGTAAGGGGAATGAAGGGGGAATTTTAACACAGCTGTGACATCAGACTACCAACGAAGCAGGCCCTTGCTGGCGGAACTCACCGACACTTGATACCTCACGTCGGCTGTCCACACTTTCTCCCCCCCAACGACACACGGGATCTCTTCGGTCTTGCCCCTCACGTCATTTAGAGCCTAGAGAGGGAAGTAACAACTTTGTAAACAGGCTAGCTCATCTGTTCTGTGTCAACGCTGCAAATACTGTATATTCTTGCTTTGACAATATGCAGAAATGTCTGGTATTTTTATAGTTAAATCAGGCAACAGTGAAAGGGGAGAATAAGGAAAGCCCGGGAAAAAGAAACCGGAAGTAAATCACATCTTCCAAGTTGATTGGAAGATGTGAACCATGACCCCAAAATAAGGGAGTGGGAAATGCTTAGGATTATATGCGTAACGGAAGAGAAGCCAGACCTAAGCATTTCCACCATGCCGTACTGACATCTCTGTAACCTTAATAAATGCTTTTAGGAAAAATTATGCCTGAAAGTCCTTTTAAGTGTTTCATTAATCAGACACATGACATTCTGCTATCCAGATCACCACGAATTCTTTCTCTGATCCTTGTGCTGCTCACACACCTTGCCTCTTCTGGAGACTTCCTTGCGCTCCCTCTCTTCATCCCCCAAAGAGGATGTGTGTGTTGTTGTTCTCCACAACCAAAAGCCTGCTGTCCTTCCTTCCTACCTTCCTTGCAATCCTTTGCATCTCAAATGGCTACCGTCTTTTCTTCCTCGCCTCAAATTCCTCACCAAATCCTATTTTCTCCAAACCCTCAGTCTTGGAATCTTTACCTGCCCGTTACAAGCGAGGCAGGGCCGCTAAACTGCAGCCACCCGTGCAGTCCCTGCCTTTTTCTGATTGGTGCAAACCAAAGTGCAGCCTTGCTTCTATACCCAAGCAAACAGGCCCTGCAAGTAAAAGTTGCAACAGAGCTTGGAAATCAAGTGGTCTCCAGTTTCATGTGTTCGCTGTCCCTTGACTGGATGCTCTAGTAGTTACTAGGCCACAAAGAGGGCACCTCTCTTTGTTACCTGCTGGAGGGCGGCTCGCTCAGGGCTCCCAGGTTTGAAGGCCAAAATGGGCTCGTTGACCACCTTTGTAGAGGCATGGTGTTGCCATCGCAGGCTGGGGGGATGGGGAAAGAAAGAAAGAAAGAAAAAAGCAGACATTATTTCACTTTATGTGACAATCACGAGGGATCCCTGAGACATCTGCAGGCTTGATGGACTAAAGCTTTATTTCTTCAGTTCCAAAGAGGGCTGCACTGTTAAAAGAGGAAGGCAAATGGGGAAAGCCACGTATAGGGCTGTGACATTCTAGGACAGGGGTAGTCAACCTTGGCTCTTTTATGACTCGTGGACTTCAATTCCCAGAATTCCTGAGCCAGCTAAGCTGGCTCAGGAATTCTGGGAATTGAAGTCCACGAGTCATAAAAGAGCCAAGGTTGACTACCCCTGTTCTAGGAGAAAGAGAGAAATGCAGACAAACAAGGACATTAAAAAACCCCTGAGAAAGGATTAAACCAGAACTGGAAAAAAAAAGGAGAGGGAAGTTTAAAACTTGAACCTTGCATTATTTGTTTTAGGGAGCGCAACATGGCTTTGTCTTATATATTTTGCAACACAGGTTTTTTTTAACAAGACAGGCATAGGAATAAAATAAAATAAAATACAATAGAAAGATTCCCTCATGGGCATTGATACAGCTTTGCAGGCAGTAGTATCTAAGTTGTATGCTCCTATTACCTTTTGAGAGGCGTCGTCACCTTCCTACGCTATAAATAACCAGACCTACTATCTCTGTCTTTCCCCAATGACTGCTCAGTTCCTCTTCCCTCCCCATTTCCTTTTCCTTGTGTGTCATGCTTCTTACGTTGTCAGTCTGAGGACAGGGGCATGCTACTGCCAGGAACTTATTTTCCGTCTGAAATGGGAGTTTAAACCTTGTAAATAAAATGTGGTTAACTGAAGTTTAAAATGTGGTTTCTCCCCTTGGGACTCAAGACTGCGCAAACAGTTAATCTGCTGAAAATCCCTTTGTAAGTTTGATGTGAAGCAGGCTTTCCCCAATCCGAGCCTAATTTATAATATTTTTTAAAAAAAACTGACAGTTGACACACGNTAATAATAATAATAATAATAATAATAATAATAATAATAATAATAATAATAATAATAATAATAATAAAGTTGGAAGGGACCTTGGAGGTCATCTAGTCCAACCCCCTGCTCAGGCAGGAAACCCTATACCATTTCAGACAAATGGCTGTCCAGTCTCTTCTTAAACACTTCCAGTGTTGGAGCATTCACCACTTCTGGAGGCAGGTGGTTCCACTGGTTAATTGTTCTAACTGTCAGGAAGTTTCTCCTTAGTTCTAAGTTGCTTCTTTTAAACAGAAATGCATCTGATCATTTTAAAGTAAACATTCCAAGTGTGATAGATTCGCCAAAAAGAAACGCAGCGAGTAAAATACTTCTCGCCAGTACTGAAGTGACCACCAAACAGAGACTTTTAAGGCCTTTGGTCAAACATGGATGAAATATGCTCTTTTTACAACTAAAACTAGAGTCTGCTGTTTAAGGGGAATGAAGGGGGAATTTTAACACAGCTGTTACATCAGACTACCAACGAAGCAGGCCCTTGCTGGCGGAACTCACCGACACTTGATACCTCACGTCGGCTGTCCACACTTTCTCCCCCCCAACGACACACGGGATCTCTTCGGTCTTGCCCCTCACGTCATTTAGAGCCTAGAGAGGGAAGTAACAACTTTGTAAACAGGCTAGCTCATCTGTTCTGTGTCAACGCTGCAAATACTGTATATTCTTGCTTTGACAATATGCAGAACTGTCTGGTATTTTTATAGTTAAATCAGGCAACAGTGAAAGGGGAGAATAAGGAAAGCCCGGGAAAAAGAATCCGGAAGTAAATCACATCTTCCAAGTTAATTGGAAGATGTGAACCATGACCCCAAAATAAGGGAGTGGGAAATGCTTAGAATGTATGTGTAACGGAAAAGAATCCAGATCTAAGCATTTCCACCATGCCGTACTGACGTCTCTGTAACCTTAATAAATGCTTTTAGGAAAAATTATGCCTGAAAGTCCTTTTAAGTGTTTCGTTAATCAGACACATGACATTCTGCTATCCAGATCACAAATTCTTTCTCTGATCCTTGTGCTGCTCACACACCTTGCCTCTTCTGGAGACTTCCTTGCGCTCCCTCTCTTCATCCCCCAAACAGGATGTGTGTGTTGTTGTTCTCCACAACCAAAAGCCTGCTGTCCTTCCTTCCTACCTTCCTTGCAATCCTTTGCATCTGAAATGGCTACCGTCTTTTCTTCCTCGCCTCAAATTCCTCACCAAATCCTATTTTCTCCAAACCCTCAGTCTTGGAATCTTTACCTGCCCGTTACAAGCGAGGCAGGGCCGCTAAACTGCAGCCACCCGTGCAGTCCCTGCCTTTTTCTGATTGGTGCAAACCAAAGTGCAGCCTTGCTTCTATACCCAAGCAAGCAGGCCCTGCAACTAAAGGCTGTAACAGAGCTTGGAAATCAAGCGGTCTCCAGTTTCATGTGTTCGCTGTCCCTTGACTAGATGCTCTAGTAGTTACTAGGCCACAAAGAGGGCACCTCTCTTTGTTACCTGCTGGAGGGTGGCTCGCTCAGGGCTCCCAGGTTTGAAGGCCAAAATGGGTTCGTTGACCACCTTTGTAGAGGCATGGTGTTGCCATCGCAGGCTGGGGGGATGGGGAAAGAAAGAAAGAAAGAAAAAAGCAGACATTATTTCACTTTATGTGACAATCACGAGGGATCCCTGAGACATCTGCAGGCTTGATGGGTTAAAGCTTTATTTCTTCAGTTCCAAAGAGGGCTGCACTGTTAAAAGAGGAAGGCAAATGGGGAAAGCCACGTATAGGGCTGTGACATTCTAGGACAGGGGTAGTCAACCTTGGCTCTTTTATGACTCGTGGACTTCAACTCCCAGAATTCCTGAGCCAGCCATGCTGAGGGGAAAGGGAGAGGTTTCCATGCTGAGCCATGCTGGCTCAGGAATTCTGGGAATTGAAGTCCACGAGTCATAAAAGAGCCAAGGTTGCCTACCCCTGTTCTAGGAGAAAGAGAAAAATGCAGACAAACAAGGACATTAAAAAACCCCTGAGAAAGGATTAAACCAGAACTGGAAAAAAAAGGAGAGGGAAGTTTAAAACTTGAACCTTGCATTATTTGTTTTAGGGAGTGCAACATGGCTTTGTCTTATATATTTTGCAACACAGGTTTTTTTTTACCAAGACAGGCATAGGAATAAAATAAAATACAATAGAAAGATTCCCTCATGGGCATTGATACAGCTTTGCAGGCAGTAGTATCTAAGTTGTATGCTCCTATTACCTTTTGAGAGGCGTCGTCACCTTCCTACGCTATAAATAACCAGACCTACTATCTCTGTCTTTCCCCAATGACTGCTCAGTTCCTCTTCCCTCCCCATTTCCTTTTCCTTGTGTGTCATGCTTCTTACTTTGTCAGTCTGAGGACAGGGGCATGCTACTGCCAGGAACTTATTTTCAGTCTGAAATGGGAGTTTAAACCTTGTAAATAAAATGTGGTTAACTGAAGTTTAAAATGTGGTTTCTCCCCTTGGGACTCAAGACTGCGCAAACAGTTAATCTGCTGAAAATCCCTTTGTAAGTTTGATGTGAAGCAGGCTTTCCCCAATCCGAGCCTAATTTATAATATTTTTTAAAAAAAACTGACAGTTGACACACGCTATGAAACGTGGAGAGTATTGACTCCAAAAGGCCACTTTCTGAGAAGGGACTGTTCTTTTAAAACTTTTCCTCTCCAACTCTTTCTTGCTTTCCAAATTCCAAACAGGAATAGGTTGGTCAGCAAAATGAATGCTTGAGGAGCTGGACTTTTGCACCCAGGGGCAAAAGTCTGATCTTTTCTGCCTCAGCAGGTTTTTGAGGCACAACCTTGATTTTGAAGGCCCACAAGTTGAAAGCAAAAGACCTGAGCAAACAAGGACAGCTGTTCCAGTTTCTTTGGTCCCAGCTTTGCTTTATCTCAGGCAAGGCTGATAAGGCCAAAGCCCTGCTCATTCTGATAAGGACCAGAAAGGAAAGTGTATGTAGATTAAAAAAAAAGAGGCATTCAGAGGTAAACCTGAAATTGGGGGGGGATAGGAGACTGAAACTTCTGGGCCCCCAATTTAAAGCTTTCCACACTGAATTAGGGCTTTCTTAACCAAACAACTTAGGGATTTGCAGGTGGGCCTCAACTGGGACCAGAATTTCCACTGCTAAACAAAGTGGCAGTGAAGGCAGCTATGCATGATTTTCCTATGGGTTTTTTTTTGGCCACAGTTAAGCAATTCACTACAGTTGTTAAGTGAATCATGCTCCATTAAGTGAATCTGGCTTGCTGTATTGATTTTGCTCGTCAGAAGCCAGCGGGGAGGGTCACAAAAGGGGATCACGGGACCCCCGGAATGGGGCAACTGTCATAAATATGAACCAGTTGCCAAGCATCCAAATTTTGATCCCGTAAATACGGGGACACTACGATGATCGTTAAGGGTGAAAACTGGTCGTAAGTCACTTTTTTGCCGGTGCCACTGGGACTCTGCATCGCCACTAAACGAATGGTTGTTAAGTTGAGGACTAGCTGCATGACTTCTGATCCGTTTTATTTGGGTTCTGCATTTTATTGCTTTCCTGGGGTCTTTTAAGTTGTAATTCTTCCTGCACACAAGTAGCCCGAAAAGGCCAATTCCGACAGCAAAGGCCAGTTATTTCTAAATTGAAATTTACGCTGAGGATGGAAACCAGAAGGCCAGTTTGATCTTCCAGCCCTGTCAGATCTATTCTTACTCACCAAGCAAAAAACAACAACAGAGAATAAAATTTCCACTAGCCTACGAGAATATTTCATCACCACGACAAACCTGTCCTTTTCTTAAGCCCCAGGCTGGAAGCAAAATATAAAAAAAAACGCAAACAGGAAAGGAAAATAAAGTTAAGTGTTCCCCCCCCCAAAGGAGCTGAACTTGACACTGGGGGAAAGGGATCTCAAAGGTTTTCTGGGGAACCCAGGAAAAAGAGTCTTATCCCCCTCCCCAATATGTCTATGCCTACGCATAGGTAGCCCTCAACTTACAATAGTTCATTTAGTGACCGTTTGAAGTTACAGCGGCACCGTAAAAAGTGACCTAGGACCGTTTTTCATACTTACAATCATTGCAGCATGATCCAAAATTTGGACGCTTGGTTTAGATTTACGACGATTGCCCTGTCCCGAGGTCACGTGATCCCCTCTTGTGACAAAGTCAACGGGGAAGCCAGATTCACTTAACTGTGTGATTAACTTAACAACTGCAGTAACTCACTTAACAACTGTAGCACGAAAGGACGTAAAATGGGGCAAAACTCACTTAACAACCGCCTCCCTTAGCAATGGAAATGTTGGGCTCCACTGTGGTCAAGGACTAGCTGTATAACGTGTGTGTGTGTGTGTACACACGTGCATATTTGTGTTTACTTATATTTGATTTATAGGGCAACCGTAATGGCTGAAACCTTAAAAGTTTGACAGATCAGCTGATCCAGAGGGCACACCTGTCAGGTTCCCTTAGGCCAGCGGTTCCCAACCTTTTCTGTACCCAGCACCCCTAGAATGCTTCTGATATATTCTTGCACCCCTCGCAAAAGTTCGAAATAACGGCAACAAATGATGCATATACACTATAATTTTGAAATTTCTAAATGCAAGTTTGCACACCCTCTGGAATATCGTCTCGCACCCCCGGTTGGGAACTCCTGCCTTAGGAGGAAGATAAGGAAAATAGCAAATAGAGGATGAAAGGAAGAAAATGCATATTACTATTATTATTATTGGAAGAAAATGCATATTATTATTATTATTGATCATCGCACAGTCAGCCAGATGTTCAGACTGGATTTGGCATTTTGTCTACCTATCGAGTTCTTCCCAAGAACCTGGGATAGGCAGATGTGGATGTTTGATGGTATTACAGATATCGTCGCAGGATGGAAGCGGTTCCTAGTAAGGCTGCCTTTTGCAATTGACTAATGGCGAATTTGTCAATGCCGATGATGGTGTCCAAGTGGTGCTCCAGTTGTTTTGGGATTGCACCCAAGGCGCCTATTACTATTGGTACTACCCTTGCTTGCTTTTGCCACAGTCTTTCTATTTCTATTTTATGTCTTTGTATTTTGTGATCTTCTCCAGTTCTTTCTCGTCTATTCTGCTGTCTCCAGGCACTGCCACGTCCACTATCCAGACTTTTTTGCCTTTCTTATCGACAATTGTTAAGTCCAGGTGACAATTATTATTATTGTTTATTATTATTATTATTATTATTATTATTATTATTGGTCGACTCAGCCTTCCATCCTTCCGAGGTCAGTAAAACGAGGTCCCAGATTGTTGGGGGATCAACAGCTGACTCTGTAAACCCCTGAGAGGGCTGCAAAGCGGTATATAAAGTCTAAGTGCTCTTATTATTATTATTATTACTACTATTATTTTGTTATTATTATCAACAGCAGTGACATGAATGCAGTGACATGAATGGCAGTGAGCCTGGCCCAAGCATAATCACCAGAATAATCGGAAGAGCAGCAGCATAAAATGATGGTGGCCTGAGGAGACGTCCAAGGTGGGGGGGATTATTTCCAAAAATTATTATGAATTATTTTCCAAAATGGGGGAGGGGGAGGGA